AGCGAAATAAGTACCTAAAGCAATATAGACGCATTAAGGAGAAATTAAAGTCCAGGAAACGACAATGTAACAAACTATCGTTTTTAAGGTCAAGCTCTAAAGTAATCACATCGTTGTTGACTAAACTGTACAACAATATATTTATTTCTAAAACTATCTATTTATTTTAATTTCTATTTAGTAACGTAAAGTAATCAAATGCAGCTTTATATATAAAAACACAACCAATAATAACGTGACTTTAAACTTCCCATTGTAATTTAGGTATTTTTTAAATTCTTAGCCTCATTTGTTATATACCCACAAATATTTAAATAACTTTTTATCTAGGTATTTAAAACGCTTATGACGATTTGTTAATTTTTCTTTACTTTTAGACAATACCTAAACTGTAATTAGTCTATCGACGCAGAAAATATTTTTTGTTGACACACAACTAAAAGTTAAATGATTACAATGTTCAGTATAGTTAGTAAGCCAGTAGATATCACCTATTTGCATGTCGCTGTGCCTATAAAATACCGGAAGGATCGAGAGTGAGCGAGAGGTTGCGTCACTCCAGCGGAGTGTTACATCGATGGTTGCGGGGTAGAATTGAGGGTAGATCGGAAACCCCCACTTGTTTATGCAGTATAAAGTTCAGTGTAGGTGCTGAGCGCAGAAGATTCCGCTTGCGTCATTCTATGAGTGAAATCATTCTACGAGCGTTTATACAGCCTCTTACAGGTTTATTTGTGGTAGGTAATCTTGGTTTACTTCTTGGTTTGGTCATGTATATCTTACGGTTCCACTGCGGGGAGCTAATAGATAGATAGTGAACTATGACTATTTACGGACTTTGCGTGTAAATGATTTGATGTAGGTATTATTATTTTCATAATCGGAAAGTTTTTTTTAATCTATTTTGAATACCACTCTCTATAAGTCTGCTTCGAAAATAAGTCCCTCAGTTACCACCGTCCTGTTTTTGGTCGTTATAGCGATCACACCGCGAACTCACTACATCATAATCATCATCATTACAACCCTTCACAATTCCACTGCTGAACATAGCCCTCCCGCAAGGAATGCCATAAAGCACGGTCCCGAGCCACCTGCATCCATCGACTTCCTACATGTCTTAAAAGGTCGTCACTCTATCTAGTGGGGTGCCGTCCTCGACTTCGTCTACCGGTACGAGGTTGCTCTGAAGAACCTTACTTCCCTATCGTTTGTCGGTTCTTGAAGATATATGGCCGGCCCATTGCCACTTCTGCTTACTTATTCGTTAGGCTATGTCGGTAACTGTGATTCTACTGTGGATATCCTCATTTTTAAGTCTATCACGCAGAGAAACCCCGAGCATAGCCCTCTTCATAGCTCGCTGAGCGACCTTGAACTTCCTCATACGGTCGGCAGTGAAAGATCACGTCTCAGATACATACGTCATCACTGGCATCACGCACTGGTTGTACAATCTTGTTCTGAAGTTTTAAGGTATGTCTGACGAGAAGATGTGTCGTAATCTCTCATGAACTCTCTTAATATGCTCATATTATCAAGAAGGCCCTTTCTAAATTCACGTATTGTGATGGGTAACTACAGAACCCAGCCTCTACATTGTGTGTGGCCCGACACGCACTTGCCCAGTTTTTATTTAATAACTACTTTTATTAATTTTGACTATTAATATAAGACTTATTATTTGATTATTTAATTATAATAAGTTATAAGGTCGATAATTGCTCTTATTTGATCTAATATAAGATAAAGTAATATAAAACACAATCTCGCAGCCAATCATAAGTATTTAATTGTGAATGGAAACTACAATTTACTGTATTATTCATCAATAATTGCGTTAAATTAATTATGTCAGTGTTTATAGTTTAATTATAAAGTTTGGCAGTAGGCAAATAAGGCATGCGGATTTTTATTGGTTAGTAATAAGTATAAGGTACGTGAGTGTAATATGGTCACCTTAAGCTTTGCCGCGCTATAAAACCGAAACTAGGAGGGGGACAGAAACAAAAACACAAAGTCGTATACTATAACTAATATATAAGAAAAAAATAGCAAACAAACTTTGGAAATAATTAGGAACACTTCGAAAAATTAACTTAAAAAAATAACTAATTACACTACACTACACAAGACTAAAATCATAATATTTACTGTAAAGTCATTGAGTTGTTATGTACTACGTACTAGAGGCGACACTGCACTAAGTTACGCTGTCCCATTTAACTTTGGCGATATCGCCGCACTTTACTCAGTCGCTCGCTAGACACTAGTGAGTTGACATAAGCTGTGTTAATTATATAAAAAAAAAATCTTGATAAAATATGCCATGGTGTGTTTTAGATATTGCACGAATAATTAAAGAAATGTTAGCAAATACCAAGGAATAACTTTTCATCGGCGAGTGAGATACTTAATTAATAAAAAAGTACTATAGATTAATAACCAATTATTTTAAAAAAAACTATTAAATTATTCATAAGACGACATCTCGGGTCATTGAATATAGATTATGAAATTAATTTGTTCAAGTGCGACGTTTCTGTAGGTACTTAAGTGTGAGGAAAATTGTGCCTAAAGTAATGTTTTTTTTTTGTAGAAACAAATAGAAGTATTCATAAGTAGGCTAAATTTCTGATATTTAAGTTTTCTGATTATTCGTTTATTTTATTTTTACGTTTCCACGTCCAAGCCATGAAAACAGGGAAAAGTGCAATAAATTCGTCCATTTTTAACTCTCGCGTGCCCAACATTTAGGAACGACTCTTGTTCTAATCGAAATAAATATATTTGTAAATTATATGTTATATCAATATATGTTTTTATATTTTACATAGTTACCTTCTCAAATAAGCCGTGGTAGCTCAGATGGTTAGCGCTCGCTGTAAATTTCACAGTACGCGAGCAACCCGGGTTCGATCCCCGCCGACACCAATGAAATTGTTAATTGCAATTTTAAGTGCTGATTTACCATGTGCTGGGCGGTGAAGGAAAACATCTCAACAGACATTTGAAGTTCGCTAACACGCACACGCGCGGCGGACATTTCCTTGCCCTAAAACCCTCTCAGAAATTAGAGGTGGGCTGTGCCCAGCAGTGGGACGTATATAGGCTGTAACATTAACTTTAAATAACTTTTACCTTTTTAAATATCAAATAAAAATATTAATAAAATGTAATTGTGATATAATATTATATGAAATTAACATATAATATATGAAAAATAAATGACAAATTTTAAAAGTTGTACCTGATATAATTTACATAATTTTAACAATACAATATATTATGACATGCTGATCATTCTGCCTACGCATAATCTATGAGAAATACCTTCCCTGCGCATGCGCGAAGACATGAGTAGCGCACATTTTTTGTTTGAAATAGCTCTTCTAGTACGTAAGAACATATTACTTCAATGTATAAAGTCAGCTGTCAAAATGGCGTCGATAAAGCAGCACCCTTTTTTCCTTTATTATTTAGTTGACTGATGAAGAGCTATCGTATTATAGAATCATCCATGCATGGAGTTTTTGAGTTATAAGAAAGTGACCATCATAACCGGATGACCATATTACCCTTACGTACTGTAATATAAAATAGTAAATTTCAGTTTGGTAGTTTTCAGTCATTAGTTTTATCTGTGTTGAAAGCATAACTGAGGAATCATTATATAATATTTGATAGAAGCTATCAAATATTATATATAGCTAAGATATAGGACAGCTGTTCTGCACTGTAGGTAGAAGATTCTTTTAGGGCAGGTATAGTTGTAAAAAAATTTGAAAACTAAACGACGTATTACGACAAGTACGTGAGGGTAATATGGTTTCGATAACCGCTTTTCCTCTTGGAATTAATATTTGAGAGCTATTTGCTTTTTACTTAAAAGACAATGCCAGATCGTACCCCGCCTTATACAGAAAAGGGAAATGTATGTAAAATAATCTAAAGAAACTAAAGTTCACTCATACTTTATACATATAAGAACATCATAAAATGGTATAAACAAAGAAAACCTGAATAGATAATTACGTTTCGAAATTACGCAGTACCGCATACTTATTTAAGTCTAACATTAAATTATAACATCTGATAAGAATTTAATTGCCGTCCTATAAAACCAAATCTACGAGGAGGTCGGAGACAAAAACATAAAGTAGTATACTATAACTATTAAATTAAGAAAAAAAAAATAGTAAACAAGCTTTGGCAATAAAGAAGAACACTACGAAAAATCAATTTAAAAAAAAAACTAACTAAAAATATTTACTTTAATATCAACTGTCAAAATGGCATCGATAAAGCAGCGCCCTTTTCACCCTTTATTATTCGATTGACTAACGAAGAGCTATCGTATCACAGAGCCTTCTATGCAAACAAGTCTTTGGTTTTCTACCGACTTCAAAAAGGTGACGGTACTTAATTTGACTGTATGTTTTTTTATGTGTGTTACCTCATAACTTTTTACTGGGTGAACAGATTTCGATGATTCTTTTTTATTTGAAAGCTGGTGCCTTACATGTGGTCCCATATAAATTTGATCAAGGTCTGACCAATAGTTTTTGAGTTATTCTTAATAATTTATATTGAAATCGGTTGTACAAAATTTTAAATTATTGTGTTATAAGAAGTGACCATATTAACCAGATGACCATATTACCGTCACGTACTCTATTTAATAAAATTTCCTGATATCCTAACAAAACATTTTTATTGTCCCTATAGTAGTTCAGGGGCTTAGCGCTCGTCGTAAATTTCACAGTAACTTAACGATAAGGTCGGGTTAGATCCGTCGGCACTAGAACTTAAAAGTAAATTTGGTGAATACGTTTCACTACTGAGCACAGGCGCTTAAACTTGCAATTATGCTATATAAAACAGCCAAACGTACTGGATTCTTCTGAGATTGCGGTATTGTTGGTTACATGGCTGCCTTACACATTTATTAGGCACACTAATATAAATTTAAGACCTTTAGTGTTTTATGTAAACATCACCTCAGAAACTTCACTTTGGCATGACTCGACGCTCTTGGTAAGCTCCTGCAGCTGTGTCCTGATCTCGCAGAGCGCGACCGTGGTCTCCAGTTGCCGGTCGCCGCGCTGTAGTTCATCCAGCTTGGCGGAGAGATTCATGCTCATCACGCTCACCTGTCTCTGAAGGCTGCCAGGACATCAGTGTTATGTTAGGTCACTTTAATTTTATTTCATTAAACTAAAACTAACAATATAAATAGACCTCTATTTTAAGGTGAATTTAAAATAGAAGATTTCAAACTTATTTTAAGTATGGTTTTGGTTTTATAATATTTTATACATAATATAAGTCTATATATTATTTCCGATTAATTCATGTTCTGTTGTTTTCAGCTATATGAAATAAGAAAATAGTTTTAATGTAAAATTTAACATTACTTAAGAGCAGTGTTCTAGTACGTTCATTGTGCAGCTAATAATTAGGAATCTACTACTAGGAAATTACTTTAAACAGTCAGAAATGTTCATAAGTGTATGTCGACAAAAATTATTAATCTTACATAAGTCGAAGTCCACAAGCCTTTAAACTTGTAAGCGCTGAAAAATCTCAGCACTGTGCTCATTGAACTTGATAGGATTAAGATGAACGTGAACCACACAAAATCATGTCACACCAATGACGGTAGTTGTTGGGAGCACTACGCTCGAAGTTGTTGATGAATATGTTTACCTAGGCAATTTGTCCGACTAATTAAGTTCGATTTCGAACAAGAGGTGAATCGATGGATTGAACTCGGCTGAACATCTTTCTGGAGATTATTACACATCTTGAAAACAAAGGTGTACACCCAGTATGTTAAGCCAGGGATCACACATTGAGACAGAGACGTAGTCCTTAAATACTGGCCCTGTGTGGAAGCTCAAGATCGCTCAAGTGAGCTATGGAGAGCTTGAAATATTCTGCGGAATAAAATCCGTTACGGACTGAGTAGCTGGCTAAATAGCTCGAAGAACCGACAACCGTTGGGAACGAAGAAAGGTAAAAAATATTTTACTTTTTAAATTCTGTCAAAAAAGTCATGAAATTTCTAGCAAACAGCATTTTTATATGGACACCTGTAAAATATTCTGCATAACATTTCTTTACGTGATAGAGCCACGCTACAGCGATCATGGCTGTAGCACGAATGAGTCACTTTGACTGGGTACGGTCCATACTCTCACAGAATACCAGCGTACAATAGCCACATGTCCTGTGTTTCGTATGGTGAGTGTAGAGAACTGGAGACCCTATTTACTCGAAATGAGGCTTTCTATCTTAGACCTCAGGCACCAACCACCTGAGGAAAGATGTAGGTGTGTATAGGACATTACCATCATGCAGACTGTGTGCTTATTTGTCAATCTCATCCTATAAAAACACTTTTGAGACATAAACACCTTGTTGTTTCATACACTCATACATAGAAGGGACTTTTGTATAAGAGGATTACATTATTACTCGCAAATTCGATTCTTAAAATGCCAAATTCAATAATGTTATGAAATATAAGTCATACTAAATATGGGATCCGTTTAAAAAATAATAAAATATATGCCTCCCCATAGGCTGCCTCATAAGAGGAATATTTGCCAAAGTTACTACGATTTGAAGGCAGATGGGCATTTGTAGTTTATTTTTAAGTTTTTAGTTGTTATTAGGAAGACGCTGCTGCCCATCTCCTGGTTTGTTACTCTGTGTCGCCCTTTACGACATCCACGGTACGATAATATGGTATAATGGATATTCTTACACCGCCACTGCACGGTACACTTCAAATCGAGATAAAATAATAGAATCATTTCGTACAAAATGAATTAATATAACTTGCTTATGAATCAACAAATTAAATAAATTACAAAGCGATTGTACATATATAATAATTTGTAGCGATTAATCGCCCGAAAAGCGCGCCATGTGACTGAAATTCCTGTTCGAAATTTGTAAATGCATAATTTTAAAGCTCCAATAACATTTCCAGTTTCGAAATTGTTTTGCATTGAGGGATTTCCACGAACTTGTGCAGTGTAAACCGACACTTAACATATTAAAATGTTCGTCAGATACTTCCATGTATTGTGTTATTATCGCATTTATTTTGTAGTCGATTTTAGTAATTGTTATGACAAACAGTTTTCTAAATGCTTTGAAATAATTTGGTTCATTTTATTCTTTTCAGAGAATAAATAAAAATATTCATTGTTTAATTAAAAAATTTAATTGTTGAAATTTACATGGCAGTATGTATATTAATACGGACGAAAACCCGGTAACAATAATTTAGAGGTCACGACTTACCCCAGTCTTCACTTATCAGTGTATTGTTCGTTTGTTACTTCTACACAAAGACATTAACAACCTCAGATACATACATTAAAATACTCTTGATTAAAGTTCGACATTTCGCAGAACATACACCTATATAAATAACAATACAGTTACAGGAACGACCACTCGCAAATCTGATTTATTACAAACTGATGTATTTTCCGTTGACCGACTCCTCAACCCCCTAACCCCCTGTCGTTGCCGTTGATTTCATATTTCGACGCTTAAATTCTAATTGAAGCTAAATTGCAACAAAATCTCTAACTTAACACAAAATTTTAACCTACTCAACTAGGCTTTAACACTAATGGTGAATTTGAGGCGGTGGTACTTGTTAAGGTTGACCAAGGAATAATTTTACCTGTATCAAACTGTATATAACAATTATCCTTAATACATATACATAGGCTGCACTAAAAGTATCGGGAATGGAATATTTCCACTGTTCCTGTCATATTAAGATCTTTTTAATTGAAATCTCCTTGGTTTTAAAAATCGAATACCATTTTTTTAAAAAGATTCTCGGTCTTGTCACAAGGTTTTATCAAACTTGTTTAGTCGTTGAGAAAATGGAATTGACTCAAAAAAATTCAAGAGCGATGATTTATTATAACTTTCGAAGTGGTTTAACACAAAAACAGTGTATTGACCGGATGATTTCTGCATTTGGTGATGAAGCCCCATCCAAAATCACAATTAATCGCTGGTTTGCTGAATTTCAACGTGGACGTGTCAAGCTCAGTGATGATCCCCGTCAAGGTCGTCCAAAAACTGCAGTCACCCAAGAAAACGTTGATGCTGTGCGTCAGCTAATGAGGAAGATCGACATGTGACATACCGCGAAATTCAGGCAACTTTAGACATTGGTATGAGTCAAATACAAATAATCTTGCATGAACAATTAGGTGTAAAAAAGTTGTTTTCCCGATGGATACCGCATTCGCTCTGTGAAGAGCAAAAAGCGGCTCGCGTTACTTGGTGCGTCAGAACTCTCGAAAGATTCCACGCAGAATCCTCAAATGCTGTATACAACATCGTATCAGGTGACGAATCCTGGATATACGCGTACGAACCCGAAACAAAAAACCAGTCACGAGTTTGGGTGTTCGAAAATGAGTTAAAGCTAACAAAAATTGTTCGTTCACGGAGTGTTGCAAAAAAAATGGTGGCCACGTTTGTCTCCATAACCGGCCATGTTACGACTATTCCTCTTGAGGGACAAAGAACGGTTAATGCAAAATGGTATGCTAGCATTTGTTTGCCACAGGAAGTTTCTGAACTCCGTAAAGAGAACTGCAACTGCGCCATCATCCTCCATCACGACAATGCGAGTTCTCACACCGCACACAGAACAAAAGAGTTTCTAGAGCAAGAAAACATAGAATTATTCGACCATCCGCCGTACAGCCCCGACCTAAGCCCTAATGATTTCTATACTTTCCCTAAAATAAAGAATAAATTGCGTGGACAGAGATTTTCATCACCTGAAGAAGCTGTGGACGCCTACAAAACGGCCATTTTGGAGACCCTAACTTCCGAATGGAATGGTTGCTTCAATGATTGGTTCCATCGTATGGAAAAGTGTGTCAAATTTCGCGGAGAATACTTCGAAAAGCAATAAATACATTTTTAAATAGTAATGTTGTGTCTCTTCCTTGCTTCCCGAAATTTACAGTGCCGCTCTCGTATATACATATACAGGGTTATTTTGCGATAACTGGATAAATTTGCAGGTAAGGTTCGGAAGAAGTAAGGTAGGAAAATGGTGAAGAAAAATTAATTAAAAAAATCTCAAACATTCTGTTTATTTTTTAATGTGCGTAATGCATTATTTTAACTGATTTCACTTGTTGAGGTATTGAAGTTGAGATACACGCTACAGCTTATGCTGTAGCATGTATGTGCCGGCTCGTACCGGGGCAGTACCACAACCTCACACAATACCTAACGTAAAGTAGAAGCTACGCTTTTGCGTTTCGCTTGGTTAGTGCAGGTGGCCGGAGGCCAAACTCCCCCCGCCCCCTATAACATGGTAGTGGAATTTAAAAAGAAAGGTATACCCCAGGAGGGTACCAGCATCCCTGGTAATGGAGAATCCCTCACTGAGCATCCACGGTCAAGCTACCTTTTATTACCTGAACGTAGGTGCTCAGGCTGCCCCGCGTATTCTGGGGGAGGGAGGGGGGCGGCAAAATCCCGCTCTATACTAACACTGCACATGGCAAACAGAGGGATAAAACCTTGCCAACCCCTGCCACGCTATCCGTGGACTTCTGCCACATCAGGGGACTTCATTCGAACCTTAACGCAGTCCACTATCATCTAGAGACGGCCAAGCTGGCCTTACTCTTTTTGACCGAAATGCAGGTGTCCTCTCCGGCTGATACTTCGTACTTGTCCTACCCGGGGTACAAACACTTCTTTGTGCCTAGGGCTGGAGTTTGCGTATACGTCAGAGAGGATATCTGTTCTCGACGCCTCGCCAGTCTTGAAGGTACCGAACTGTCCATCCTATGGCTGCGCGTAGACAGCGACAACCATTCCTGCGTCTACGGGTGCGATATGTCCCATAGGTATATAAGGTGTATAGGTCCCATAGTGGTAATGCCGACACAGACCGACTCATTGACCACGTCCAAATAGCTACAGATTTCTGGCTACAACAGATCCCATCCGTAGAGATCGTGATACTTGGCGATTTTAACGCCCATCAAGCTGAATGGATCGGTTCACGTTTAACCGATCACGTGGTGAGATCTGTTTATGACTTTGCTTTGGCATATGGTCTGACACAACTGGTTACTTCGCCTACGCGGATT